TTGAACTAACCAAGCCATGAACTGTTGCTACTCTGGAATCGTTCCTTTATCTTGTTTTTAAAGAGTGTTCTATATTACAAAATTCTGTTTAAGAAACCATTAAAGTAAATGTCAGTATTTCTTATGGATGACATACCAAATTAAACTCCCTGTAGTACTTTTGGTCTGTATGTTTGAGTTTTGTAGAATACTAAAAATGAATACCTTGGGAAAACAGTTTAATATAAGTATGTTCTTGCAAGTTGGATGGGATTTAAAAAGAAATCAATCTTTCCCAAAAACTACCTAGTTGACTTATTCTCCATATCTATACTATTTAAGAAGATGTCACAATAGTGAATGGCCAATGTCATAAATCTGTGACAACTCTTGGCAAATTTAGTGCAATACACAATTAAAACTGTTTTTTATAACATCATAAATTTAGTTTGATAAATCTCTGCTCCATTTAGAGGTTAAAAAAATCTGCTCACTTTTCAAGCTAGGTTTGGTGGGGCATACCTGCAATTCCAGCACTCTGGGAGGCTGAAGCAGGAGAATTCCAAGTTTCAGCCCCCCTTTTTTTTTTGAACCTTCAATTGAACTCAGGACCTTGCACTTGCCAGGCAGGTGCTTATGCTACTGAGCTATATCCCTGGCCCTTAAGTTTGAGCCCATCCTGGGCAACTTAGCAATTTAATGAGATTGAGCCTGTCTGAAAATAAAAAATTACAAAAGGGACAGGGTTGTAGTTCAGTATAAGCACCTTGGTTCAATCTTCATTATTAAAAAAAAAAATCATTCACTTTCCAGTTACATGTTTTCCATGGTGAAATGGTTTAAATTGAATATTTTCATCTAAAAATGTATTTTTATCATAGCTACAAATCAAATAGGCTTTAGAAAATGGGATTCTTTGGTCTAATCACCAATCAGATTAGAGATTGAGGGACTCCTGGGGAAGGTGCTCTACTCCTCAGGGTGGAAAAATCACTTTTCACACACCTTCCACTCACTCCCCTTGGCTATCTCCCTCACTTGAACTTCCAAGATGACTCCGCAGCCTTTCCACACAGTGTGGAGGGACCCCTGCTCCCTGAGCACCAGAAGTCCACGGCCAACCAATCCCCAGTCCCTCCTAAATGAAGCTGAAGTCTCCACGTTGCAAATCCTCACAGGTGCCAACTTTGTGACTATTTTCCCCAGAAGGATCCAAGAGTTTGAACTTAACCCTTGTTTAAATTACCAAGCCAAATACAAGTAGATCTCCTCCAAATAAAGAGGAGCAGTTACATAATGAAGCACAGAACACCAAAAACCAAACATGCATTTCCCTAAACAGCAGCATCACAGAGTAAGCCTGAGTCTTCTGGGTGAGTGTGGCAGTTAGGGTGGAGGGAGAGTTACCTTGATTGGCTTGGGATCTGCCCAGGGGACTAGGGGAGAACACTTCAGGATGTATCTGAGTGGGTCACGGAGGCATGGACTTAGGGTCTATATCTGTCCCCTTCTCTGGCACTGTTGTTACCCCTGTTGTTCTCCCTTCTCTGGCACTCAGTTCCCACATGGTGTTCCCCTGGCCACCATGAACTAAGCAGTTTTACTCTACACAGCCTTCCACCATGATGTTCCCACACTGGAGCCAGCAGACCATGGACTGAACCCCTTGGAGCCCTGAACCAAATTAAACCTCTCCTTTAAATTGTGGGTACCTAGTACTGTGCACAGCAATGAAGCAGTGACTAAGACACTGGGGAAGCCCAATTACCAACAGTAGGTCTTCAGGTGACCCTCAAAGGCTAGTAATCTTCCCACTGCCCCCGAAGCCAACACACAGGGCAAAAACTGCTCTGTGTGTTATTTTCTGTGATCTAAAAGGCTGAAGTGTCCTCCTGCCTGAAATTCTACAAGTATAGGTTCTAATCTTGCTTTCTCAATAAACATTACCTTTGCTAAAAGATGAAAGTGATACACTGGATGACTTTCTTATTCCAGAGTTTGCTCCTGAGCTGCAGAAGAAATGACACCCACCACTTCACACACCTCCTGACATTACCTGGTCACACCTAAGTCTCTCCTCCCACAGTGTTTTCACATTCCCTGACTTTTTTGAGTAGCTCTGGTCCCAAGACTTGTAAAAACAGCTCAGTAAGAGAAAATTTCCTGAACCAAAGGAGAAAAGACAAGAAAGAGGAGGAGGAGAAGGCGGAGAAGGCGAAGGAGAAACTTGAAGCAATTAAAGCTTTAATTTTTCATGACTGTGTCTCTATAAATGTAAATGACTTGTACACACCATGAAATATTAATCAGATCAGTAATCCAGGATTATAGACAATGCCAAATTGCTCCTCCTTGTCCAAGAAAAAGGCATCAAGCAGCAATTTCTGCAAACCCAGCTTCTAGCAAGAGATTGGGCTTCTGGCAGGGGATGTCCTGGCCAGGATATGGGCTCATACTCAAGGCTTTGTTTCTTATAGGGACCAGTCTTGAGTGGACTGAAGGCCATCCAGGCCCAGGAGCAGGAGAGAAAGAAAAATGACATGGGACAGACCTGTGTGGAAGCTACCAGAGAGCACATCCCTCGCCAGGCCCCAACTCTGAGGTTATAGAGAGCACTTCCTGGTCCTCATTGCAGCCCAGGAAGTTTATATTTGTAATCCCATGAAAAGTTATTGAAATTCTAGTAAGTTAATTCCAATCTACAACTTCCAGTGCAACCCATAGCGAGAATAAAGGCACTAAGGCGTATTTGTAGTTATGGGGAGCCAAGAAGTCCTGAGTCTAGCCACAATGATAGCTATCTGGAACAAAGGCCTAGACCCAGGGACAAACCTGGGTTTTATTAATTTGTGAAGAAGGGAGTGGCTTGAGGTTGAGTGACTGTGAGAATCGTGGGAAATAGGTGAGTACTGTGAGTTAGGTGAGGTAGGAGACCTGAAATCACCTCTGCAATGTGCAGACAGAAGGATATGCAGAAAGAGTAACTATATAACACAACTGAGGTCATATCTAATGTTTTAGGGTGGGTGCTTCAGCTCTGATGTGTAATCTGTCAAGCCCCAGGAAGTCATAGCCTCTATCACTAGGCATGATCCGAGCCTATAGCCAGTGTGGAGCACTAGCTCTTCATCCCACCTCATCCTGGCTCACACAGAGGAAAAGGGTGGCAGGAGGGAGTGTCCGGGTAAACACACCTGCCATCTTTACAGACTACCATCAGCACCTCAGCTGAACCGATATACATTCCTTAAAGTGAATTGAAGGGATAAGAAAAGTCCTAACCAGCTCTGTACACATCAATACATGGAAATGGGGTCACGTTCAGCCAAACTGGAGACAATTGCTCTTCCTTCAAGGAGAGTCACCCAGCTGCTCCTCCACAAGAGGTGTCTTCCCCACTGTCACCCACCCGTCACTGCCTGGAAAATCATCAGGGCAAGGCTGCACTGTATGGGGTGGGACAAGGAGGGGCACAGACATAGCACTGTGGGGGCTTCCAGGCAGGGTGGTGGGGAGGCTGTCTGTGCCAGGGTGGTCTCCAGGGTGGTGTCCCCTCCTGGCTGAGCTCGGTCTCCATCAGCTTGGTCTCCACTCACTCCATGGCCTGCAGCCCACAGGGATGCCAGGCTCAGCCTCTGGTCCCTCTTGAGCAGGCAACACAGGTCTCATCTGGGCACCCACCTTGCTCAGGGGAGCCTCTGCTGGGAGGCAGGAGTGCCAGAGTCCCCCAGGCTCCTCAGCAGTGACCCGCAGGTAGGGGATAGCTTGATGCCATTAGGTTAGTGTCCTGGCTCAGGGAGGGGTGCAGTGCTCTGGGGTAGTTTGGCGACTGTGGTCCCCATCTTGCATTTGGGGATGCTTGGCTCCCAGTTACCACTTGCCCTGTGCTGGCTTCACAGAGATAGCAGCTCTAGGGGTGTGGGACTCATCATGAGGGTTATGGACCTGGAGGTCACATCAGGGCCATCTGCATGGGCGAGTCCTCTGCTCTGCACCTCCTGCAAGTGGAATGGAGGGTGCAGGGTGGGAGGCATCAGGCATGGAGTGAGAGCTCCCTAGTCTTGAATCTTCATCCTGCATCAAAAGAGGGCAAGGGACAGAAGAGCAGGTGTCTGTCTGTCTGTCTGCCTGTCTTCATATGGCCTTGTCCCCTTCTCTTTGTATCAAATCTTTTCTTTCTTGTATTAGGACACCACTGGTCATTCACTGGATTTAGGACCCTACCCTAAATTCAAAATAATCTCATCTTGAGGTCCTTAATCTACTTACATCTAAAGGCCATTTCCAAATCAGATCACATCCACAGGTACCAGGGGTGGGGATAAAACATGCATTTTAGGGACCCTAAAATGTTTGATGTACTCCACAGCTAGACTCAAAGTTTCACCATTGGAAGAGCAGCATACTATAGCATCCACTCATACATGATGGTGTGCTGCTCACGGGTCCCTAGAGGGCCTCCTGATGGGGACCGGGCACTGTGGAGGCCCTGTGACATCATGCAGCCGGAAGGGATTTTAGAGCCAGGAAGATCTAGCTGCAAGTTCTGAGTCACCAGGCGAGTTTACTGTATCAAAGTCAGGCTTCATTTCCTTGTCTCTGAAATGGGCACAGGGCCCTTTGCTCAGGTGCTCTCAGAACAAAGGAGAAGACGTTCACAGTATCCAGTCCATAAACTCTCCATGAGACTCTCCTCCTGTTATGGCTTATATCTAGATGTCCCCACAAAGCCTCGTGTGTTCAGAGGTGGGGCTTTTGTGAGGTGACTGAATCATGGATGTGTGACACTAAGTCATTGTTATGAAATAACTGGATTAGTTCACTGACTGGTTTAGCATAGTTCTGAGTGTGGATGATGGATTTACTGAAAAGGGGAGACCCATCCTGGGTGTGGGTGGCACCACACCCAGGTGGTGCCAATAAGCTTATAGCCTGGATGGACTAAAAAGGGAAAGAAGGAAAGCTTGCTGCTGCCTGCCTGCCCTTCCATGGACTGTTTCTCCTCTACCATTCCACCCTGCCTGGAACCAGCCCACTATGGACAGAAACCTCTACACACTGTGAGCTAAAGTAAACTTCTCCTCTTTTAACTTGGAGTTGTCAGGTATTTTGTCCCAGCAATGAGAGAGTATAAGACATTTCCCCTCCCCCTCTTCCTATTGACAGACTCCGTAACCTCTGTTGAGCCCTGGAATCCTCACTGAAACAGGAACCCAGGGGCAATAAACAGCCACTATCACTCGATGCCAGCCATCCCAGAGTGCTGTCATTCCCCTCTGGTGCCTTCTCCCATGTCACATTGTGTGCAGACCTAAACCTTTGTCCAGGTAGGTGCTTGCACCCGAGGAGGGTACTAGGCAGCCACATACATAACCACCAGCCACCACCCTGGCTCTCCAGTGCCCCTGCATGCCCCTTCCCCCATCAGCCCATCCTTCAGTGGCCATCAGGATACCTCCTAGACCACCCTGTCCCATCCCTCAGCTCCACACATAGTCCTGGGGGAAAATAGGACCTGAGGTTTTGCATTTCCACAAGCCCCCTGTGAAGATATGATGGTTGATTGACTGTGTCAATTTGAGTAAGATAAACCCAAAACTAAATTGGCTCAACAATTTCACACCCTTGGGTGTGGAAGACCCACCCTAGGGCGGCTCCTTGTCTGGGATGATATAAAGGGGAAGTGAAGAAGGACAGCTTCTGTTTCTTTGAAAAAGCTCCAGTCTTCACCTTCACCTTGGATGTCACCTCCTGGCTTCCATCAAAGACTCCTCAGCCTTCCATCTCAGACCCTCGGTCTCCTGATACAGACTTGCGCAGGACTCTACAGGGAGCTCCAGGCCTTCAACTGGATCCTTCAGTCTCCAGTGTGCAGACAGACCCTCTGCACTCTTCCATGAAGGCTCTACGGGTGGCCACTGTAAGCCAATCTTGTAGATTCTTGTATATGTGCATCTTTTGTGTTGTATCTGCTTCTCTAGTAAACACTGACACAGAAGCTAACCCCAAGGGCAAAGTGTGTGCGACACAAGGCAGCAGGACCTTGGATGTCTCCCATACCCTGCCTGTGTCTTCTCTGCAAAGCACAGCGGTGATGTGCATGACCTGGCTGCACAGATGGGACATGGCACTGTGTGGGGTCAGAGTTGTCACTGTTGTCTCTGTCACCACCCTGCAGTGCACGGTCACCGGCACAAATAAACTCCCCATGCCAACCACATGCAGGTGCTCTAGTGGAGCCAAGCTCTCTCCCACCTCCACATTTTCACCCTGCTTCATGCAGCAAAGTCCTCCTCATCCCTCCAGGCTCTGCAACCCCAAGCTCACCTCCGTGGAGGCTCAGCGCAGTCCTACTGATACTTTTTATCTATCTTTTGATCTTTCTTCCGTGTGTGTGTCTGTGTGTGCATCTGTGTCTCTGTGTGTTACTGGGCATTAAACCCAGGGTCTTCACACTGAGCTACATCAGAGTCTCTTTTATCTTTTATTTTGAAACAGGATCTCACTACATTGCCCAGGCTGAGCTTGAATTTATGATCTTCCTGCCTCAGTCTCTTGAGTGCTGGGATTACAGGAATGTGCACCAAAACCCAGCTCGGTACCTTGATTCTCAAGGATTATTTCAGACTTCTGACATCCAAGACAGTAAGATAATACATTTGTGTCACTTATGCTGCTCAATTGTGGTCATTTGTTATAGCAGCAATCAGAAACTAATGCAAACATTATCTTAAAGTTCCTTTCAAACCCAGTGTGGTGGTGCACTCTTGTAATTCCAGCACTCAGGAGGCTGACGCAGGAGGATCACTGTGAGTTTGAGGACAGCCTGGGCTACAAAGTGAGTTCAAGGTCCTCCTGAAGTGCATAGTGAGACCCTGCCTCAAAAAGACACAAAAAAATTTCTTTTTGTGAATACTTCTGTATTATTTTTCTATTTGCAGTAGGCTTTTCAGCCATATCCTTTTCAGTTTTCTATACTGTGTTTCATAAGCCCTTTATGTGAAAACTAAGCAATAACAAGAAATATTCTTTCCCCCATACCAGGACCACTGTTGGGTGATCATCCTCGCTGTTTGTTTATGGGAGCTCCTATGAGAGCTCTGCTCTCTCAGCGACACCTCAGGGTATTGTGGGGCATCTTCCTATCCTGTCTTTGTGCAGGACAGTGGTGTCCTCAGCCAAGGGACCACTGAGACATCAGAACAGAGGACCATTAAATATCAGTGGTCTGAGCCTCACATGCTCAGGCAGGAAAGTGGATCGGGTAGTTCAGTGGCTATGTGACAGACACTACTTGCCCCTGTGACCATGCTGTGAGAAGGAAAATAATTAAGTAAAGCAGGAAAATCCTTGGAGGGGAAGGAATAAGACTCATTGAGCAGAATGCCTTGATGTACCACCAGCTCGGAAACAGATTGGCCTATGGCTGGTTGCACTAGAAGTAGAAAATCCACATTATTTCATGACCACGACAGTTTGGCTTGTAGAATGGGTGTCTACTAACTTCACTAGAACACGAGGTATAATCTGGTTTTAGTCCCCATAAATGCAGCCATGGGGTAGCTAAATTGCTGTGCATTAAAAGTCAGGAGCATAGGAAGATGCTCTATTTAAGATGACAGAGAAGCTCCAGTGGAGCTCAGCACCACATGACCTGGGGTTATGGGAGGCCAGGGAGGAAGACCAATGCCGCAGCTCACGACGTGGCTCTGTTTACTAAAGTTCACTGACATCTGTTCCCTCCCAGTCCAGGCTATGGTTTCCCCCAAGGGATGTGTGTTGCTGTGTTTCAGTTGGGGCACAAGATAATTGTCAAAGTTGCAGGACCTTTGGCTTGAAAAGCTGGAGATGACAGGTGACAACTGTGACTCCAGGAATAAAGCAGCAGCCCTGGGAAAAGAACTGTGGGTTTGTTCATCGCTCTGTGTGTGTGTGTGTGTGTGTGTGTGTGTGTATCTGTGTGTGTTTGTGTGTGTGTGTGATTCATTTCTCCAGAACATGTCCCCTCCACACAAGCCTGCAAGACAGGACAGAAAGAGAAAGGAGCAGGAGCGGAGCCCCAGGCACCAGTCCAGGTTCTGAGTCCCTGGCTGGACACCACCCTCTACTCCTGGCCCCCAGCTGGCTCACATACCCCAGCCCAGCTCCTACCTGAGATGTCTCTGAGGCAGGAGCTGTGGGATAGTTGTACTCAAAACCCACTGGGCAACACCTTAGCAGTTTGCACACTTGTGACTTGTGCAGTGAGCGAAGCCCCCGGCGGGTGGCCAACAGTACCCAGCCCTGTGTGCTTCCTGTGCACCTCTCCCGCAGCTGAATGCAACCCGCACAGGCCCAGTCCCGCCCCGTGGGGCTCTGCGGAGCTTGGGACCTTCTGCTCTGTGCTCCGGCTGCAGCACCCCACACTCCCCATGCTTTCTTGAACTTCATGACTTCACTGCCCCTTCCTGGACCTGGGCTCCTCTCTGCTCACAGCCTCTGCCCCTCTTTCTTCCTCACCTGAAGCACAGGTGTTTGTGGGGAGAGAAGAAGAACTTCCTGGTGGCCCTGCTGTGTCCAGAGGGACAGCCTGGTCACACTAAGGCCCAATTCTGATGGTTCTGTCCCCGTGCCAGCTGCCCAGGCTGCAGGGAGCATCCTCCCCAGATGCCCAGGGAAAGTGGGTCCCGGGCTTCTCCGTGACCACCGCTGTGTGGGTGGAGGGAGGAGAGGAGGGACAGGGCCTGGCTGGGCGCTGTGCCTGGGTGGCCTGGTGTCCGGGCCTGGGAAGGAAGCACCGCTTTTCCGTGTGCTCCTGGCCCCAGCGCCTCCCACATCCTCTCGGGCCCTGACCTCTGTGCTGCTCCTTTGACCGTTCCCAGTGGGACCTGAAGGAGGGCGCGGCAGGCCGAGGACACTTGGCTGCTCTGGGTGGGCAGAGACCTCGCTGTGCAGTGTGGGGTGGGGAAGGAGCGCGGCTGGCGGGGGATCAGCTGCAGGGGGCAGGGTGATGGTGGCATCTTCCAGCTGGGAAGGGGCAGAAGGGTGGCCTGCACTTTGTCATGCTTCTGGTCCTGATTGGAGGTCTGGATCCTTTCCTCTGTGTGAACCATGGACCCCACAGATCAGTGGCCAATGTCTGCCATCAGGTGGCCTGAGATAAGGTATCACTTCCTCTTCGTGGCCATGGTCATCCACGCAGCCCTCGTGACTTCGTCAGAAATGACTCTTGATGGCTGAGGATGAAGGATATGTTGAGCAGCTTTTCCCATGCCCTGGACATACAAAGACTATTACAGCGAGTGTGATTGCTGAATCGCCTGGGAAAAGAATGGTTAGTTGCGTAAGACAGTCCCATCCAGCCTGCTGTGCCACAGGGCATTCCCACCACAGGTGGGCGGGACTTCCTGCGGCCACACCCCCTTCCTAGCACTCTGTAGCCATCCTACCAGACGGTTTTAATTTCCATTTTACCAGCAAACTGTGACATGGAGGCACTTTTTCATAAGCTCCCCCGACATGGGAACATGTGCCCTGATGAGATTTCTGTGCAGATCCTTGTCCATCTTTAAATTAGGTGGTTTGTTTTGTACTGTGGGGTTTGAATAGTTCTTTGTGCCCATCTCTTAAGAGCCTCTTTGCAGAGCAGACATTTCCAGTCCTGCCAGAATCTTGTTTGGGATGGTATTGAACCTACAGATGCATTTATCTTGAGAGTATTAGGGGAAATCCTCTGCCTCACAAGGAACGGGCTGAGGGACAGCAAGGCCTGGCACCCACCGACCTAGGAGGGGCGGCTGAGTCACCTGTGCTATGTGCCTGGTCTCCTTCCACCAACCCTGCTGGTCTGAGTCAGCCGTGCACTTTCTCCTCTGCCCCCTCTGTGCTGCTGTGAATTCCCCTCCCTGTGGGAGCGAACACACTCCAGGATCTGTGTCTCCGGGTACCGAGCAGTCTGACTCATTGGTCGTTTGGGCTCTGAAGGCACAGACCTCGTTAAATGACTGCAAATCCAAACAGGGTAATGCAATGAGCACATTCCAGAGACTCATGTCATCCTCCCCACGGCTGGGTGAAGAAAGCTGTTGGGCAGTGTCATAGGACGCTGTCACTCAGACCCACGGCCTTCCTGGAGTGTCCTCGAGGTCACTCCTGGGTCCTTCTGCCTGGGGCACTCTCTGGGGCCCTCCAGTCTCCTTTTCCAAGCAAGGCACCTGCACATTTTCTCCTAAACTTACATTTCTTGGGATAAAAGTAGATGAGTGATCTGACGTGGCTGGGGAGCTGTCTCAGCATGATGCTCCTGCTGTCCCTGGTAAAGATAAGGTACAAGGACACCAACCAAAATCCCCGGGTGTATGGGAGCAGGAGGCACCTGGCCAAGCACCATGGAAGCTGCTATGTCTTTTTGTTCTGCTGCTTGATTCAGGCTTCAAAATTACGTTTGCATTTCAACCAAAGTTTCCGTGTTCACATGTGGGTAAATCCCGGCCTCTGGCTGCCCGTGATAATTGCTTCCTTGTCCTATGGGACTCACCTCGGCCTCTGTGGAGCTCTCCCTGGCGGCCCCAACCCCAGGTCTCCCCTGCTGCTCCCACTCTGCTAGGTATTGGCTTCTCAGCAGCAGTCAGGTTACAGCTTGTCGCTAGTAGACAGCAAACCCCTCCTCAGCAGCCCCCCAGATGTGGCCATCCTTCTATTAAGCAGAGTGCACACCTGATCCACGTCCACAGGGCCAGAGGAGGGAGTCAGAACACGGAACGCATATCCAGGGCTCATGGACATGTGCCACTCTGTGAAAATCCCGCCTACCACTGG